CAGTGGAATTGCAGGTTGAATAAGTAGAGAACATACAGCAGAGTTTCATCCAAGATTATCTTTCTCAATTGTGCATGTATATTTGGAGTATATGGATTGTGTTATTTTCTGCCTTTTTCATTTTAGGTGACTATTTATGAAACCCATATTCTGTATTATTTCATTTTCAATCAGATAAGAAGTATCTAAGAATTAAATCTTTTATGATTTTCACAGAATAAAATTGGGCCAATTTGCATTTGGTTCCAGATTTTTTAAATGTTAATTTTAATTCTGCATTCTAATAAAAAGACCAGACATTTACCAAAAAATTGTATGAGATGATAAGCACAGTTGTTTGAAATCCCTTTGGAAGATGATATTCCTTTATCTTTCAGTCTGTGAGTAGCCTCACTTGTTTCAGTGTGACTGTTTAAGTCAAATGTGATTTTGTGTTCTTTGGAGCATTGAAGTGGCTTATAGGCACAATTCTAAAAATTTCTTGCTCTATAGTTGCTGTTCTGACTCCTCCCATATTGGCAAGAATAAACGAGTCTTCATTTAATCTTGGTTTGTATTTTCTCTATATATGAAAAAAAAAATTACATGCACATACAGTACATCTTTGTCTACTGAAATGTTCCAGATCCAACTCAATCTAAAAACTGTCTATGCATACAGTTAATCTGTGGAGACGCATTAATATATGCACATATATCAACTGGATTTGTAATGTGTCCGCAGTGGTTGCTCTTAAATTCTTTACAGGTTTATTGGAGATGAATATTTAACTTTGTCTTAATATTAAGTAATTGCAAGGGATACCATACATCTTGAGGTCTAGCAGTTGAGTCTGCTCAGATAGCAAGCAATTTTGATGTGCAGCTGCTTAGAGGGAAACCTACTGGTATTGCCTCTACTGTAGTAGGCAACTAGAAAGTTCGTTCTTAGAGATTTTCAGTTGTGTGTTGTTCACCTGTTGGTCCTGGATTGTATTGTTCTGCAGTTTTACAGGCAATCAAACCTTCCCTATGCAACATTGACAACCCCGGCTGGGACAGGAATCTCAGTAACTCTCAGCCAGGCTGTCTTCAAACTTATCTGGCACTTCTCTGTTTCATCTTTCTTATATCACTTTCAAATACTTTATTCCTCTCCATTTTTATGTTACGATTCTCCTGTGATGGGAGGGGTTAAAGAAATACCTATGGACAAGGTAAAGGTCATTTCTGCATTAGAAAGTTCACTTTGGGCTCTGAAGTATATGGAGGAAAGGAATCCAGTGTGCTGGAAACAAAGGTAATAATGAAGTGCAGAAGTTGCTGGGTAAGCAAAGTTACAGCTGGGTGTCTGCTGGACTCTCAAGTAATGGGCCTGGCCTAGAGAAGGTATGTCCTGAATGTGGAACCATTCCGGAATCGGAAATGATCCTTTTAGTCCAATTGTCTGTTCATCTCCATAAGCGATTATGTTGTGTTTTTTCTGGAATGCGGTTCTTGAGGTTTATTTATCTAGAGTATAATAAAACCTGCAGATAACAAATAGTAACCTTTTGTATTTTTCACTCTGGAAAAAAAGTAGTATTGTGTTAATTTCCAGTAATGCCACTATAGATATATTTTCAAGTACTATGCAGGATATTAAATTACAATAATGAGACTTGACAGGAGGGAGCAGCATAGGTAGATGTATATACGCACATAGCTTTGCACACAGCTTCCCCAGTTGTGTGTTCACATTTAAAAAATGTTACATATTCAAGGGAAATGTTACGCATGAATTGTACTTCTAGGCACGTTCCCATTTATTGTATCTGTTTTGTTTCTACAATCCCTTAGATTTAAAGATGCCTGAAGTTCAACAGGATTTGTATTGTTGAGAGTTCATCTTTTTAACTTCTTGGTATCCTGTAGTATATCATTCTCTTTGGTGCGTAACATCCCATTTAGCTGCTGTAGAGATGAGAATGGTAGCGTCACCTTGCTGTATTCCATATGCATTAACTAGGTGAGGATTGAGTAGTAACTGTTTCTGTGCTGATATCTTCAGCAATTTTGGAAAGTGGAAGAGAGAACAAACCAGAAAATCTGAATTGTTTTCAAGAACGTTTTTACAGCTTTCCATGAGATGCCAGTGGATTCCTAATGAGTAAAACATGTTAATGTGTTTTTGTAGGATTCCACTAGTAATAGAAAAAGGACACACTGTTTTCAGAAGTTACTTCATTTTTTTTTGCTTTGAAGAGTTCCTGTGCCTGTCAGCCTTTCTGGAAGAAAGGCAGGCAGAGGGAGTCTAGTAGCAAGGAAGCTGCGTTGGGAGGCAAGCATCCATTTACTCACCCTGCTGCAAGCTCCCTGTCAGGTCTGGCTCAGTGCGTGTGTCCTTCAGTTCCTTATTTGTGCTGTGAACCTGGAACCTGTGTTCCTTTGTGGTGGTGGAGAGGTAAGATTAGCTACACTAAAATGGTGGAGCTCTCAGATACTTGAGGGAGAGGACACTTGCAGAGCTGGGGACATCCATCACTTGGTCATGAGGTGTTCCTAGACCTAGGAAAAGTCTTGATAGGGAGACAGGAATCCAGGACTGTCAGCTCCCATGCATTCAAAGCGTTTGGCTAAAATCCCTTCTCGTACAGCTATGCTTGATGTAGCAAGTCACAAAATGCCAAAAAGTTTAATATATAACATGACAGTCCTGAAAAAATGTTTTCACAAGCTGGTGTCATGTTGTTTTGCTCTCGCAGATAAGTATTTTTGGAACTTCCCTATTGCTGTGTTTTACAGCTTTTATTTGCTCTATTGTTATTTTTAGTCATCTTTTCTGAGAGTGTGCTTTTACCGTTTCAGCTTCCTATTTCTTCCAAGTTAGGGCTGCTGAGTTAACTTAGCCAAAAAACTTATCTCAGTAAAAGTTTCTCCTAACAATAAATTAAAGCATTTTTCTCTGGCGATTTCATTTTTGCTTCTCTTTTTTGTTTTTATTGAGGTCTTTATTTTGTTTGGTAAATGTTGACTTGGAGTTCCACGGTATTGCAAACTGAATAAAAATCAAGTGTTTTTTCATCAGTTCAAGATAATGACATCTGAGGAGGTCATCCAGGCTATTATTTGCCTTAAGGCAGGATTAGTACATTTGGAGTCAGAGAAGAAAAAGCCTTAATTTAAAATTTCTAATCAATAAAATTATCCACAGAGCTTTCAGTCATTCATACTGTCAGTGGCTTTGCCTAAACTATGGGACCTGACCCTTTAGCATCTTTTCATCCCTTTGCGGGTTTCTCTGGGGAGGAAACACGTGTGTGCTGCCCTGAGCAGCACTGGAGCATGTTCCAGTGGCATCTGCAATCTGGACACTCAGAGGTGGTGCAAGCCTGGTGCTGAGCACATCTGCCTTGGGGCTCAGATGTAGCCGTTGGAATTGGTGAGAGTGTCACTGACATAAGGAAACCTGCGTATGTCCTTTATTCTTTGAGGTTTTGAAGCCATCCATAAGCTTGCTAAAAAAATCTGATTTCCCTCTATTCAGAGGTGGGTAAACTGAGATTGCCATACTGTGGTTTCACAGCTGCTAATTTAATGATTAAGTGTCATGGCTTCTTCATGCTCAGGCATGAACATTTACTGTTCAGTTACAATTTTTCTACCCATATGTTTCCTGAGGCTGCCCCAAAAAGCAGGGCTAGGAGCTGTCTGGTGACATTGTTGGTAAGGGAGAAGCGCTTCTGTGAGTGGGAATTACATCAAGTTGGTTGTGTCCCTCCAGTGTGATGGTGAGATCCCACTAGTCCCTGAATGCTAAAGAAATCTGTCTAGGCAGGGATAATAATAGCTTTATTTCCTGGTTCTATAGTGTATTCAAATTGATTTTCTCAAAATATGGGGTAGAAATGACCTCTGTAGTGGCGTTCAAGGCCAAGTTGGACAGAGCCTTGAGTAGCCTGATCTAGTTGAGAGGCGTCCCTGCCCATGACAGGGAGGTTGGATTAAATGATCTCTAAGGTCCCTTCCAGCCTATGCCATTCTATGATAATGAAACCGAAGAACCCCTTGTCGTTGCTGTCTTTGAAAGTTCAGCAATCTCCATCAAGTCCCCTCTCCAGCCCTGCTCCTCCTTCTCCATAGATTGCTGAGGAAAGAAAACAGCCCGGTTGCGATGCAAGATTGGTGCTTGTGCAATCGTTAAGATCTAGCAAAATGTGGTTTCCTAACCTTCATCAGCTAAGCTTGTGGCCTTTCCTAAAAAGACTGTTGGCTGACAAATTTACAGCGATCTGGTCTGTATGTAGAATTTGAATTTGGAAACTAATGGCTAAACCGTGAGGGGAAAATCTGTTCTGTTTATTGGAGAATTTACAAGTACCGCCTTCCTACATATTATGTATTTTTCCTCCTTTCTCTGTTCTTCCGTTAAGTGATTCCCTATATTTATCTAATTATATGAATTACCTGCAAGAGGTGTTATTTAAACGTGTCCCAATTTTCTTACTACGATGGCAGGCATCAGAGGTTTGGTTTGTTTTTTTTAAAATATCTGATTCTCATTGGTTTTTTTCCCCTTTTACTGATAATGTCTAAAAGCTAGAAAGAGTATATAATGCACTGAAAGGACCTAATATGGGAAAAAGTTGCATGATTAATTATGTCAATATTTATTGGTTACAGCAGCAATCAGTCACAAGACCTACAGTTTTGTTGGTGTGTCTTATGTGCTTGTCCCCTGCATCACAACAGCTTTTTTTTTTTTCTTAGAAGTGCTCCGTTTTGGCAAAAGCTGGAAAATTGATTTTAAGTAGTTTCACGGTGCTTTCAGATTATTATTATTTCCAGAGCTGTGCTGTAGCATTCTGAGATATTTTTAAGTACTTCATGTAATTATTAAACAAGCACCTGTCCCATAAACTCTGTTGTCCAAAACAATTACCAAGTAATTTCTGATCCCAAAGGATTTTTAATTTAAAATGCTGTGTGCATGATGCAGAGTAGTAAAATGCTCATTTTACAATGTGGTGCTCTTTGTTCTAGGAATGTTTACAAGGATTACCGTTTCCTTGAGCTAGCCTGTGACTCCCAAGAGGAGGTGGATAGCTGGAAGGCATCTCTGCTACGAGCCGGTGTCTATCCTGATAAATCCTCAGTAAGTTAAACAGCTGACTAGTTTTCCAGTAGCTACTCTGTTTGAGTCAGAAAAAGCAATTGTATCATCTGGGAAAATACAATGTCTGCAAATACCTCAAGAAATAGTGGGCTTTTCAATGGACTCTTCTGTAATAATTTTGAAATATTTGTAATGAAATATTTTAAGATCAGTTTATGTGTCAAACCTCAATATTAAAAAACAAACAAACAAACCACAACCAAACCTTCCAAAATGTTATTAATTGTATCTGTGTGGTAAAAGCATTGAGCAATTTGGGATTTCATGAGCTTCATTGTTTCTATTAATGTCTTCGAAGGTAAAGATGGGCTTTGAAGAGTTTATTCCCTCAAGCTCTGTATTACAGAACGGACAGAAGCATTCCAGGCAATCATGTATATTTATTTTACTGATTCACTGCATGTTTTTTGTGTATGAAACACATGCTAAACCTTTCCAAAGGCAATTTTATTCAGCTAATCGTCATGTGGAGCAAATTGAACAGCATACAGTAAAAAAAAAGCCTCTATTAATTTAACAGAAAAGTCAGAAAGTCGGGAAACAGAATTTGCCCATCTACCGTTTCATATTTTTTGGACTTAAGTTATTTTTATATTTAGTATCGAATGAAGTTTTGAGGAGATGTATCCCAAGAGAAGATTGACTAGCAAAAATACCTATCACTGGAGCTTTTGAAAGTTTCTCTAATGCATGGTTCACCTTTCTTCAGTAAGTCTGCTGGTTTGCTAGATTCCTTCAGCAGATTTGTTCTGAGAAAAGATGCTTTGATTTCAATGGAATTTGTTCTTCTTACTGCTTGTTTTCCATGAGATGGCCAGGCCCCTTGAGGCCAGGGTCTTCTGCTGTCTTCCCACCTTCTTCATCTTTCTGGTCCTCAAATTTCCCTTATACTTGTGATACTTCCATGGCTTCCAGTATAATTCTGCCTCCATCCTCTGCAGCTGCTATTTATGCACACAAACGACCCTCAGCTTCCTGTTTCAAGGCTACCATCAAAAGATAAATCAGAGAGTCCTTCAACTTCTGGATTCTCCAGTTATTGTTGGAATGAACAGTGGTGATGATGATTTTTTAAAATAGGTCAAATACAAATTTAGCAGGAGGCTACCTTTTTTTAAAAAAATAAATTTTTATCACTGTTCAGTATATTGCCTGTCCCAGTAGGTCAGTTCTTACCTAAGACCATCAGAAGTCATTTTACAATTATTAGTTTCGAGAGGTTGCCTAATTAGTTACTAGGGACAAAATAGTGTATTGTTTTGTTTTCTTGCTCAGGTTTTAATAATGATGTCAAAAGAGTGTGCTGCTGCTTCTGGTTTAATCTTGTATTCTGTGGCATGTTTATCATATTCATATATCTGTTACTTTATATTTAAACAAGACAGACGAGTTGGATTTCTAAACTTCTCTTCTATCTTCCTGTCTCTCCCTTCCCCCTAAAAATATTTTGTATTCAATTGCTGAAGAATTCTCAGTTTTGTTTAAGTTAGTCTGTCAAAGAAGTCTTAGACATAAGATGAGAGACTTCCTTGAAAGACAGAAGTAGAAGGGAGTCAGCTCTCCTTTGAGCTGGAATTATCTTTACATTACAAAAAGAGTGAATATTATTGTTCCAAACCCCTGTAGTTTGAAATTCACCCAGTAGTCTGTCAAGCTGTGCAGGAAAGAAGCTTGATGCTGCTCTAGTCTTGCAAAGCACTTTGTTCCTACAGGGCTGCAGATCCAAACCTGGGCTGTAAGTCTGCTGTTAAAGTTTTGAATTTCGTAAAGCAGAAGCTCGCAAGGCCCAGGGTACCTGAGAAACTTCAGTGGAACTGAAATAAAAATCAGCAGCGTTTCATTGAAATCTTGTGCATACTCAGTTTCACGCTTTCCTCTGACAATATAAAATAGTTCTAGACACGGCCCCCTGTCTTTTCTTCTCCTTCGAAGATTTAAAGACTGGTTTTATGTAAGAGAGACTGCCAGGAAATGGCAGCAACATTTACTCCAGTGCTTCCCCACAGCTTTGTGATCCCGGAGTTAAAAAGGCAAAGCGGTGCCCTCGCCCCTTCCTACACTGACCTTCTCGCTCTTTTTCGTGCGCGAGCCACAGCTGGTAACTCTGAGTATCCGAGCCTTTGGCACCAGAAGTAGAAAACTTGCAGCTTAGACATGAAAAATGGATTAATAGTGCTGTAAACCCGGAGCGCAGCAGTGGTGAAGCTGGCCTGCTTTCTGTAACTGCCAGAGCAGCGCGCAGCCTGGAGTTGGGACGCGAAGCTGCGTGCTTTCATTAACAGTTCTGCGGCTCGCGTACGAGGACGCCGATGGAAAACCCTGCGCATTTGCCCCTAGCTGGGTTCCTTCTGCAGTGGCAGGAAAAGCAGGAATTTGTCACTGAGTTAAAGAGATTCGTTCTGAATTCTCACCAGGGGCAAATCTCTCAACTAAGAATATTGATTCTTCTGTTGTTCTTTGAGTAGTGCTGCTTACAGTTGTGTGGTTACAGTGGTAATGGGTCTCAGTACTTACTGCCACTACTATGAAGTCTCCATTGTTAATTGAATCCTGTAAGCTACGTCAAAGGTTGTTGATTTTTAATTTTTCTTTTTGCCTAAACAAATCTCTTTAATATATTAAAAATTAAAGACCAGATATCACCCATTCCTCCATTTCCTTGCTTCATTTTGCCTGCCTTCCCAGGCCTTCTGCACCTGGGGATGCACACTCACGTTCATATATTCACTCCTTTGTTAACGATCTTTAATCATCCCTCAGTGTTGCTCTACGAGCCCCCAAATTCTTTTGCGGATTGCCAAGTCACCTCCTTCCCCCGGGAGATTTGCTTTTGTCAGGACGTGGGCTTTGACAGCCACCCGGATAGCAATGAATCAGTGTTTTTATTTTTCCAACCCATATGCAAGTCAGCTTGCTTGATATAAATCACAATGTGGCCAATTCACTTTGAAACGGGATATCCATTTACCAGCTGACTTTACTGCTGGGTTTCTGGACTGATGCATCCAAAAAACCTCCTTTTTTAAAAAACGACTACAACTTTGTGACTAACCTTTCCAGACTGTATTTCTCAACTGTAGGCTGGTGTTTATTTTGGCTGACTTCCCACTGCGTAATATGCGCTGTTCATGCCAGCTCATGGCAAAACTCGCAATTAAAAAAAATAATAATAGCACAGATGTTTGTCGTAACTTGCTCTGCACGCTTTACCTTGCTAGCACCGTCCATTCATTTTCCCCTCTCCCCTAAATGCCATCTCCTCCTTATTTGTATTACTGACCTAAAAGTTCAATATTTGCTTTTTAAAAAGCCTTGGATCTTAAAACTTTCCATTCATTGGCATGTTGTAGGGAGGGGCTGTCATGCAAGGGTAAGCGGACATGTTTAGTGGGTTGCTTTGCGTACTGGAAGTTCAGTATTACCAAAGCACGAAAATCCCTCTGGCTTCCGTCCCATCCCTAGATCATTTCAGGCCTCATTTTCTTCTCCCTTGTATTAGTGTCCACCGACTTCCCTGAAGCTGCTCCTGATTTACACTAGAGGAAGCAAAAGTGGAATCAGAATGTTTGTGTAGAGAGGAAATTTTGAAGAACAGTGTGAATTTACAACTTCACTGAACGTTTTAAATCCTTTGCAAATGTCCTACGCTCCCCTGGAAGCTGTCTAACTAAAGGATTCAGTGAATGTTCATTGAGTCAGTTCCTCATTTGGTTTGAGCTGTTTCCAGAACTGTACAAGTTAGACTGACTGCATGTAAAATAAATGTATCTAATATTTCTTTTTTTTTTTCTTCTTTCCTCCTTGCTGCATCCTGCAAAGGGGAACAACAGAGTAAGTTCTTTGTCCATTTACAAAATTCTTTCATATCCTATCTCAAGGATTTTATCAGGAAAATTGGTTTCTTTTTTGGGTCACACAACTATTGCCTGCGTATTCTTAACAGCAAACTCCTATTACAAATGTGGGTGCAAAACTGTCTTCTAGGAAACTATTAACAGCTCTTTGTTTTAATTTTGGGGAAAGAGATGTGTTAAGTGTTGCTGAGTGTTGTTTTTTTAAGGCGGTTCAGTAAGAATGATACTATAAAACAGTATTGGGACCAAAGATTATGAAGGTATAGTAATAAAGACCTTCTGAGGAAAGGTTACTACAGTCTGATGAAACTCATTACAGCTGGATTTTTTGACCATACATCAAAGCTTGTATTAATGGGCAGTTATAAAAACCCAGCACTAAAGTCTTAAATAACAGATTTGCTGGCGTTGTTGGCTAAGCTGAACTAGATCAGTGTACTGGCTTTGAAGGTGCCTTAAAATGGATGGAGGAGGGTGGGGTCAACATTTGACTTGGCTTCTAGACCCTTGATGTGTTCCAGCTGGACAGCAGCAGAAGGGTGTGGGGTGTGGAGAGGGAGAGCTGAAATATGCGTGGTAGGTTTTTTTGAAAGTAAGCAGCACATAAAAAGACAGTTTTGCTGATGTTGATCTGATAAACTAATAATCAAGCAGTTCCCAGGGTTAGTACTTTTTTTATGCCATTTTTACTGAGCTTAAGAGTGGAAATTGCACATCTCACACTTTGGAATATGAGGCAGAGAGAGTTTGTCATACCACGGAAAGAAGCACAGCTTTTGTGCT